CCTGTCCAAAGCATATGGCTGCTATTTCCTTATTTATTCTAACACGGGAGGTGACTGGTCAATCAAGCCTAATGACCACAGGTTTTCAAGTCAGGAGACAGTCTCATTCAAAGAGAGTACAATGATGAATGTTTTTTCCTTTCTTTCCTCCTATTTCTCTTTCCTTATACAGTTAGGCGAAGGGTTGAATTTGAGCAGAGATCAGTTCCCTACACCACTCCTAACTCTACTAATTCAAGGACTTCTGTGCTCAGAAACAAGAAACAGTATTCACAACTTTCTATTTGTCTCAAGCCTTCCTGTCTCATCAATATGAGGCATCTGTCAACCAAAAAAGATATACAAGGTATAAAACACAAAGCTCTTATCCTGTCACTCTGTCACCACCAAACTGAATTAGTCACTGACTGCAAAAGAAGGCTTTTTTTTTTTTTTTCCCTGCAGGCTATGTGTGCTGGGACTCACACCAAGGGCTTCTGCATAGAACTCTACCATAGAGCTATACACACTTGCAGCCCACAGAAACCATTCCTCTGTGATTCATCAGACTGGCCCAGCATGAGCACAAACACAACAGAAAACCTGTGACATCCAATTTACCGAAACTTCCTGCTCTCACACTAGCCTTCATTTTCCTGAATTAAAAGAATGCTTGAATAAAATGATTTTTCACTAAATATTTCTTAAATAATAGATACTGATATCTTCTATATGACTACTACTGTGAATATATACCATGTCCATTTTAAGTATATCATGAAGTAATTTATGTCATATTTAAATGCTAGGTAGCCAGTTGGTGGAACTATTTTGGAAACAATTAGGAGGTGGCCATGTTGGAGAAGGTGTGTCACTAGGGCTGGGCTTTGAGGTTTCAAACGCCCACACCAAGCCCAGTCTCTCTGTCCTCTCTTTCTTTATCCCCTCCCACCCTCCAACTTGTGGTTTAAATGCCCAGCTACTGCTCCAGTCCCATGCCAGCCCACCATGATGCTGATGGACTCACCCTCTGAAACTGAAAGCAAACTCCCAATCATAGTGATATTTATGATTTATTAAAGCTTGCCTGAGGATTCAGAAAAGCAAAGTCAGGCTCAAGCTATAGAGATCAGGCAATGATGATATACACCTTTAATCCTAGGATTCAGGATTAAGAGGTAGAAGGATCTCTGAATCCAAGGCCACTGGATCTACCCAAGAGGGAATCAGTCTAAAAGACAACTGTAGCTCACACCTTTAACCCCAACATTAGGGAAGTATATAAGACAGAAGTACGGTCTCAGTAGAGGAATTCATTCTCCAGCCACACTGAGGAGAGGTTACAGTCTGAGGCTTAGTGAGAGCTCATGGGGACAGACAGGATCAGCCCATTCAGCTTCAGATAGAGGTAAGAAGCTAGTGGCCAGCTGCTTTGCTTTTCTGATATTCAGCTTGAAGTTTGAACCTAAATATCAGTCATTGGGTCATTTATTTTTTCGTGTTACACCCAATTAAATGCTTTCTTTTATAAGTTGCCTTGGTCATAGTGTCTCTTCACAGAAATAGGACAGTGACTAAGACAGCTATGTTATTCAGATGGACAGTTTTAGAGAGTCAGTGACTTAGACTAGTTTTCTTTCCCCCACATGTGGCTTTTGAAAATGATGGCTTATCTTTCAATAATCACTACTTATGGGAAACAAAAACAACTGTGACAATTTGCAGTCAACATTGAGCTGCAGTCTGGTCAAGAAATAAATCTGTACTGATTTGGCTTAATTTATTATGGAGGTAAAGGAATAAACCACTCTCACCTCCACAGAAAACCCTATGCAGTATCTGCACGGTGCTTAGTGCCAGGGATTTCATCTTCTGATCTGTTCTATAAGGTGTTTTGTCTTAATTTTGAGGCTTTAAAGAAGCCAATGTATCCAGTTCAATAGCCACGTAGGGGCACACAAACAACTTAAAATCCAGTCTGTTGCAAAGACTGCCTTTTGAAATGTCATTTGCTTACAAGGAAAATGTAGGACGTCTGGGAGGCTCTTAATAAAGATGACTAACTTTACTTTTCTAGGCATTGCACTTACAGTGTGCTTTTTAACTTTCTCTTTTGACCCACTATGTATTATTTGAATTTTTTTTTGTATAGTAAGCAGAATGTGAGATTTTTTTTTTTCATAAAGAAAAACCAAGTTCTATGAAAAAATAACACTGCAAACAAGCACCCCAAAAATCCAACTCTGTACTTGAGTTTTGAGATGCACACATACCCTACCCTACCCCCACAAACAGTGTTTCCACATTCATAAGGGGAAAAGTTAAGACTGGGGATCTAAGGAGGATACTAAGGAAGGAAAGAAACTAAAGAAACTAAGATGGAAGAGAACAAAGCACTGTAATGTATCCTCCAGCCCCTAATGCCTTAGCCTACCATGATGCTTCTATTTTTGGACCAATAAATCATCACTATGAATGTGCCTTAAGAAAAGCTATGTAAAGAAAAATGTATAGCAGCATGACCTAGGATAAAGAAAAACTGGAAAGTCTAAATGTAAGTTCTATCAATAGATTCTAAATATCAGTGAGAAACATGGTATTTATTATTATAGAAAATAAAAACTAACGGCTACACCATCATAATATTTCTTATGCTCTAAATTACTTATGTGTGTATGTATGTTCATTGTGCAGATACGTATGTGTACATGTGGAGATTGACAGAGTGTCCTCAGGTACTGTCCACATGTTTTGGGTGAGGTTGTTGGGTTTTTGTTTTGTTTTGTTTTGTTTTTGAGACGGGGTCTCTCATTCCTGGAACTCATCACACAGGCTAGGTCTGCCTCTACACAGTACTTGTGAGCATATGCTAGCATTCTCAGTTCTTTTAACTGGGTTTGGGAGGTTGAGGTCAGGCTAAGACAAATACTCAGACTAAGCTATCTCTCCAGCCTGGAGACTGAGCTATCTCTCCAGCCTGAAGACTGAACTATCTCTCCAGCCTGGAGTCTGAGCTATCTTATCTCCCCAGCCCAACTTTTTAGGTACCTATTTTTATTCTGACAATTTTCTTTAATTGTAAAGGTAAAAGTACCTTACACATTTTCTCTTCTCTCCTTTCTTTGTTCTTGGTTTTTTTTTTTTTTTTTTTAAGACAAATCTAGCTCTGAGTGACCGGGAACTTGTTATGTATAAGCTCAGGCTGGCCTTGAGCTTGTATCATCTTCCCGCCTCTGCTTCCCAAGTGCTGAGATTATGATGTGCGCCACCATGCCCAGTGTCAAAATATTTTCTTAAAGGTGCAAGTGATGTCATTGACCACAGGGACATAGTGATGTCACCGACCTCAGGGAGGTAGTCTGTACAGTGTGACAAAATGGGAAGTTACACTGTATTCAGACTATAAAAAAAGTATATACTAAAAGGTCTCCCAATTCATTAGTCCATAATACATGTATGGTGAAGCAGTCTTTTACTTCATAGTTGCTAGTGAAGTCTGCAGAGACAGTGGGGCCTGAAATGTAAAAAGGACACCACAAGTGGAAAAGTATTTATATGACAATGAGGTTCCTCTCTTTCACTGTTCTTTCACTATGCCAGTGCTGACTTGATGTGGCACAAATGGCTTCTGCATTGCCAGTGCATACAAGACTCTAAAAAATTAATGCAGAGAGTATACTCTAAAATCCCTTCCTAATTTTTTACTGAAAGAATACAATGGTGTCCCCTATATAATCCTAGCACTCAAAAGGATGGGGCAGGAGGATTGCCTTGAGTTACAAGGTCAGCCTGGGATATATAATATGTTCCAGGACAGCCTGAACGATATACTAAGACTGTCTCAAAAAAAAAAAAAACAAAAAAAAACCACAAACAAAAAACAGGAAAGAAAAGAAGAGAAGAAGAGACCAAGATACAGGAAATATACAAAAAAGAACAGGAGTTAAGTGGTAGGATAATCAGGAGGGGCTACTCATGGTAGAAAAAAATTGACAAATGCAACCTTAAAAGAGTCTAAAAACAAAATCCGTGATTATCAATTTTTAATAAAATTCACACCTCTAAATATAACTATCACTACTTCTCTTCACTGGAAAATAAGAAGAGCGGCAGGAAAATGAAGAGCATGACAAGAAAATGGTGAAAGGGTTTCTGGGGAGGAAATGGATGCCAGAGGTTCAGTTGGTAACATCCTAGGTAAGGACCTAGTGAATGCCAAAGAAAAGTCCTCATGAATCAGAAAGATGCGGAATTTGCTCAAGATGGTCATCCCTGTGACAAGAGTGTTCAGTTTTTAATTAAAATCCTAAATCAAAATGGAGTGGCTATTTCCATACCAGCAACGTTCATTACAGTATTTAAAATATAATAGGGTCTCTAAAGTGTTGAGTGACCTATAAAAAGAACCATCTGTAATTATGTGTTTACATGGTCTCTGTAAGTCCTACTATTGCTGATCTTGTAATGCTTTACCTCATACTGAACTCAAAACATGCACATACTTTAAAGGTATCATCCTTGTACTGTAGCCCACACTATGCAAACAGCCTCTGGTTGCACATACACTGTGTTTCAATGCGCCTACACTAGGAAAGGGTCAGACTTTAACACAATGGAGCTGATATCTATGAAGCTTCCTGAAGGGGTTTTGGAGACTGATTTACTGAATGGCATACTTCTTGAGGTACACCTGGACTTAAATGAATTCTACAGATTCAGCTAAGGATTCCAAATGTACAAAGCCCAGAAAATGCGGCTTCTGGTTTCATGCTATAACCATGACCTCAGCTACCCAACACAGACTTCTTCCAGATAAACAGATTAAGGTTACCATCTATGACTACTGCAGGTAGCTGAACCCATGTTAAAAAAGAAAATCAACTTTAAATACATTCCACAATGCTTTACAGAAGCGAAACAAACAAAAGCAAATAAAAACAACAAGAAAAAAAATCACAATTATTAAAAAGCTGATTTTGCTTAAAACACCAAGCAAGAATGGACATATGAACATTCCTAACCTGCAAAATGATTCCTCCACATTATATCAGCGAAACTCATTGGTGGGCCACTGGGAGGGTAGTGTTTACCTTTCAGAGGCTCATGATCAGTCCTTATCATATCCATTAAGGAGTTCTCCAAGGAGTGCAAGTTAAAAGTGTCGTAGGGCCTACTCCGGTCCTAAAAATAGAAACACAGAACAAGACAATATAAAAAGTTACTTCATAAAATGAACATTTGTTCTGCTTCAGCTGTAGACTGGCAGCATGAATGGAAGTTACCGACAACTCTAAAAACACATTAAGAATAATGACAGTGCCAATATTCTCAATAGAAGTATCTATAATTAAAGTACATCCTTTCCCCAATAGTCTGTAATGTAAATGCCCCATTCCTTCAGACTGACTTTCTCTCAAACGAGATGGGTCAGATCCATTAGTTTTGCCTTCTACTATCCACTCCCTGTCTACCAGTGAACACAGATTTCTCACACTGCTGGAGAACAACTGAGAACTCAGTGTAAAATCAGAATCACTTTTCCGAAAAAGACAGAGGGTTATTGTATAAAGAGGCTGAGGCAACAGGACCAGCAGCTTCACCTGTGTAGCAAGTTCCAGGCCGGTCTGAACTATACACACAGGCATGTCTCAAAACAGAAAAAGCGAAATCATGACAACAATTCCATTGTAATTGTAATAAATCACTTTAATATTTACGACCAGTAAATTCCATACTTGGGATAGTTACTGTTGTTTTGTTTTGACGCAGAGAGGTTGGAGAGAGAAAAATAAGCTTAAGATAATTGGAAGTAGAGAGCCAACCCTCACATGTTGTCCTCTGGCTTCCACATGCAACCTGGGGCATATACTGTACACACACACCTAAAATAAGTAAATGCAACAAAACAAATTTTTGTTTTTTTTTTTTGTTTGGTTTTGGTTTTTTGAGACAGGGTTTCCCTGTATAGTCCTGGTTGCCCTGGAATGCACTCTGTATATCAGTTTGGCCTCAAACTTAGAGGTCTGCCTCCTAAGTGCTGGGATTAAAGGTATGCACCACCACCACTTGGCAAGTTTTTAAAGCAAGAAATAAAAAGTCATGGTGAAGAGGAGGTTAAACGATAACAATAAAAACTGTCCATTTAGGATGTTTGGGAGTGTGGTGGGACTTGCCTATTATCCCAGCAGTTTGGAGGCTGACACAAGAGGCCAGCTAGTCTGGGTTACACAAGACCCTTACCCTCCTCCATTTCCCCTAAAAGAAAAGGTTATGTGGTGACATCCAAGAATCTTTCTGGCCTGGGAAGTTTGCTGGTTTTGTTTTTCCATTTAATCTTTAATGTAATCTTTCTAGGTGAGCCTATCCATTGTATACATAAGGAAAGTGAGTTTAGCAGAGATTAAAACTATCTATACTATACTCAAAACCAATTCCCTAAGGAGTATAAAGTTCTGTCCAAAGATGTTGGCCCCATCTACACAGGACGGTAAGCAGTGGCGTCACAGAAGCAGAACAGTGCATGTAATCACTGACGAGGTGACCTTGCTGCACGCTGGCAGTGAGTCCCTGCCAGGAGAGGCTCTGTGAGTTTAAGTGACTACCTATTGGGAAAACGAGCAAAGGTATTTAGGAACGTGTGTCATGTACTATCTAAATGGAAATGATCCTCAAATCAGTCAAAATGTCAAAATCATGGGTCACTCTGATTCAAACACAAGTTCGTGGGCTTGGGAGATGGCTTAGTTGGCAAAGTGCTAGCCTTGCAGGCACGAGGATTGGAGCTCGCCCAAACCTATATGAAAGTACAGGTTGTCGTGGCACATTTTGGGGAGACAGACAGGATCCCTGGGGCTCAATGGCCAGCTATTCTGTCGTGCTCAGAGAGTGCTAGGTCAGTGAGAAACCCTACCTCAAAAGAACAGTGAAGGGGGGGGGGGGGAGATGGGAGGATGGGAGGGAGAGGGAACAACTCCTGAGGACCAATATCCAAAGTTAAACTAGATTCTACACTAGTGTGCTTCCTGTCGCTCTCTCCTGGACTTCAGTTCAAACATGCTTAGTGATATTTTATAAGAAAAGCCAGCAAGATGGCCAGTGGGGAAAGGTGCTTGCTGCTGAGCCCAGCACTTTGGAGATAGAGGAGATGATAAAGTATGTCTAGAGAACTTAGTCAGATCCACCACTCATACAGAACAAGCAGACGGGGCTCGCTACCCAGTCAGTCTAGCTGAGTCTGCAACTTCAGATTCAGTCTGAGAACCTGTCTCAAATGTAAGGTGGAGACTGATGGACAAGGACACCTACCATCAACTCTGGCCTATAGAAGCATGTGCATGCACATAGACACACACACAAGAATACACAACAGCTACCTGTATGGTGTGTACAACAGTAGTAGCAGGAACACTAAATGTCCTCTGTAATGCCACATCCCACTACTGGAACACAGATTTAAATATCTATAAGAAGTTTATGGATACAAACTGAACAACGGTTCATTAATGCTCAACAGATGAAAACATGACACGTGAAAGGCGTAACAGAATTTGCACATGCTTCTTAACTGAACAAAATTGCAATCCATTAAGAGACTTATTTTCTCATAAAATTAATTCTATTCATGCCTCATCACTTTGTATTTGTGGCATAGCATTCATCTTTTTGATTTCACTTTACAGCTGTGCTGTGGGGAGGTCTCTGGCTCCCACTGGTGTCAAGCCCAGAAGCAGTCTCAATTCTTATGCTCTCCAGGAGAATTTAGTCAGGACACAGGGGTAGGTCACACAGACAGCAAGAGTACCCTTAAATTTGAAAAGTTTACCAGGAGCGAGGAGGTGTTGGTGGGCACATTTAAACCCAGCACTTGGCGGGGAGAAGGCATAAAGGCAGGCTGATCTCACGAGTTTCAGGCCAGCCTGGTCTACAGACTGAGTTCCAAGACAGCCAGGGCCACACAAAGAAACCCTGTCCTAAAAAAAATAAAAAGGAAAAGTTTACCAGGGGAAAGGGCAACAACACCCTGCCACGTTCTCCACTGACACTTTGATCTGATCTAGCTAGCATGGGTCACTATCGCCCACTCTCCCCTTCACATCTGGTTCTGGGACCCTGGGTTTGGCCTATCTGGGCTGACCAGTGCCCTCATCTTCACACTCTGATTCAGGGCCCTGAGCTGCCCCACCCACTGGTCGGTATGCCTCATCTTTGGGGCCTATGTAGTCAACATAGTAACTGGTTAACTGGAAAGCAGATCAGAAGAAAAAACTGAAAACTTTGCAATAATGGTCAATGGAAAAAACTACAATTCACGAATCACAGAAGTCACAATGTCAAACAGACTGGAGTCCAGGCAGACTCAGCTTTTGAGTGTGAGACCCTGTCACGAAAGGGCAGGGGGACTTGGGGGGGGGGGTTGGGGTGGCAGCAGATATTACTGGCTACTGGGTAACCCTGAAGTCCTCAGTTCAATCCTGGGACCCATGGCGAGAACCAACTTATAAAAACTATCTTCTGACCTCCACATGAGCATACCATGTGTGTGCACCCACACTCAACAACACACAAACTAATACACAACTCTAAGACAAGCAGATAAGCAAAAGCAACTTATTCATGAAGCTTCCCCCCAAGTTTAGTTTCCTCCCAAAGGAGAAAAGGAAAAGAGGCGGGAGGGTGGGCAGGCGGGCAGGCAGGCAAAAGTAAGGTGCATCTGTAACGGAAGCCCTCTTCTTGGGAAGCTCAGGCAGGAGGATGGAGCATGTGAGGGTAGCCTGGGCTACACAATGTGATCCTTGCATGAAGAAACAGTCTCTGGGAAGGAGGCATTTTGTCCCCCTCTTGTGATTGTAAGTCCTGGGCAGATACAGTCAGTGGTGAAAGGTTACAAATTCAATCAGACCCACGTGACATCCTACACTCTGCACCCTCTTTAACCTAACCCAGAGCATCCAGAGAGGACTCCTCATCTCTGCCACACAAGCCACCTGACTCATGTGCCCTTGGTCAATTACCTCATTCAAGTGACAAGTAATTAACCTCAAAAAGAGCCTTGATCACTCTTCAACCATCCATGGCCCTGCCTCTCAGTCCCAGCTCACTTACTTCCTGCTCTTCTGGCTTTTTTATACTTGGGTGTTGCCTTTCCTAGAAACACAGAGTAGAAGACTTTAAGTGTCAACAGTATCTGGGAACCAAATGATGAAAATAATCATGGCAGGTCGGAAAGATGGCTGGTGGGTAATGGAGTTTGGGGCCAAGTAGGGTGACCTGAGTTTGATCTCCAGGGCATACATGATGAAAGGAGAGAAACAACTCCTTCAGGTGCTTCTCTGGCCTCCACAGGCCGATTCACCTCCCCACCCACCCAAAGACACACACACTAACTAAAAATAAAGTAATAAAACCCCTGCACCTTGTAATATGCTATGCACTGGACCAAGTGTCTTCAGTTCTCTGCCATCCTGGGGATACATGGAGCTTATGCAACTGTTCAAATTAGGTGGCAAAGATGGGTAATTGGCAAAGATTTTTCTCCCCACTTAGTAGGCTGCCCCCTTGCTTGAATGATGATGCCCTTTGCCATACAAAAGCCTTTTATTTCATGAGGTTCCATTTATTAATTGTTGGTTTTAATGCCTGAGTAATCAGGGTCCTATGCAAAGAGTCCTTTTCTATGCCAATGAGTTCAAGCCTGTCCCCTGTTTTCTCTTCTATCAGGTTCAGGGTATCTGGTCTTAGACTGAGGTCCTCGATCCACTTGGAGTTGTGTTTTGTGTCTGGTGATAAGACATGAATCTATTTTCATTCTCCTACATGCAGCCATCAGGTTTGACCAGTACCACTTGTTGAAAATGCTGTTTTCTCTAGTGTGTATTTTTGGCTTCTTTATCCAAAAGGAAGTGTTCACACGTGCTTGGACTTATGTCTAGGTCATTAAGACTACATCACTGACCAATGTTGTCTGTTTTTATGCTACTACCATACTAATTTTTGGTTTGTAGACAGAGGTCTCATTGTGTAGCCTCAAGGTTAAGACATTTGGCTTCTGTTCAGTCTTCGATGTTACCCCAGTCTGTCAGGTTGATTTCCAGTCTCAGGGTCATTCTGAGTTTCAGAGGCTAGACTTAACGCTGATCCTGATCCGCATGGCAGGTAGGGCAGCAAAGTCCCAACTGGAACTC